CCCCCAATCCACGGGGCGGCCTCACACACCGACAGAGTGTTTCTTGGTGGCTGACGGGGCACTCTGGCTCCCGCCCTGGCCAATCTCAAGCTCTTCTACTGCCTCCAAGCCCCGAGTGTGACAGGCGCGCAGCTTCTGCTCAAATTCATCTATCAGAGCCTGGAGCGAAAGGGGAGGGGGAGAGCATGTTTGGAAACACCGTTATCTCTATGATTAAAAAGACAGGAATTAGAGACAGAAAGCTCTATCTGAGGCTGTCTCTGGTAACTAGCTTGCAATGGAGTTGGGAACAAGACAAGGCAGTCATGTAGGAGCCTCTGATAGCTGCTTGGGCCTCCGGCAGCTCACCTTGCCCTCAGGCTTGGCCCCCCGCCGCAGCTTGCCCACAATCAACAGGAAAGCACTGAAGATGGCTGAGTCTGACAGCTTATCCCCAAAGCAATCAAAATTGTCAAGCATCTTCCGCAGGCCTCGCTCTGTGAGGGGCAGCTGAGACACGCTATAGGCCAGGTCCCGGTATTGCCTCTCAGTTCTGCGGAGAAGGGCTTTGTGAGGGGCTGGCACATGTGGGAAGCCCATACGTTCTCCTCTGTCCCACCCATGGCCCTAGGGGCACCCCTGGGGGAGGGGGTCTCTCCCTGCTGGAGGGGCCCTGGCACCCAGCACGCAGGACAGGCAAGTACCGGGCTGTGTGGAAGCGCTGACACAGCTTCTCCACCAGGCTCTCTGTCTGCTTGTCCTTGGTGATGTAGGAAAGGAGCTGCCTGCAGAGGAGAGGGGAGGCGGGATGGCCCAGGGCTGCTGGCTGCAGTCACTCAGGCCCACCTGAGTCTGGATTGCCATGGCTCCTGACTGCATCTGTTCCTCTCCCCTTCTCCTACATCCCAGAGGAGGGTCCCCTTTAATTATCACCTCCCCCAAGTAGTTTTCATGGTGAATGAAAGCAGCACCACTTGAGCTACCCCTTTAGGGATAAGTCCTTCTTATCCTTACTTAACCTTCTTAGGAAATCCAGGATCAAGAATCGGTGGTCTTTATAAAATAGGAAAGGGGCCCAGAGGTAAAGTTACTGCTAAAGGCCTTCCAGATAAAAGACCAAGAGCAGGAACTGAAGCAGGTGGATGGAATTCCTGGCTCAGAGAAACACGTGCCAGAAGACGCAACGGGCTTACTTCATGATGGTGTGGAAAGGCTCCTCCTCTACCCCACCCTCCGGGTCTGAGAGGCGGCTGATGATGTCTGGCAGGAGGTTGTAGATTGCGTTGCCCTGGAAGAGGTCATGCTCATCAAGGGGTGAGGCCACCGGCAGAGCCCTTTGGCAGCAAACTCTAAGAGGGTCCCGCCTCCTCACCTTGTGGGAGAGCTCATTGAAGAAGTTCTTGGCCAGGGCCGCGATCTGAGGCTCGGGGTCTGTGAGCAGCACCGCCATCTCGCTCACCTGACCCTTCACCTTCACCATGTCCTTCAGGATCAGGTGGGTCATCACCAGCCCTGCTGTTTTCCGCACTTGCTGAGCCGGGTCTCGGAGGCTAGGAAAGAGATGTCCGGTCAGGTCACTGGGGCCACCACTTGTGCACCCAAGCTTCAGATAAAGGGTTACTCAGCCTAGACCTGCACAGGCCACCCACTGACACCGGAGACTGAGAGGCAGCCTCAGGGATCCCCACATGACACACGACCGCACCCCGGAGCTCTCGGGGTCTCTTACCGAGCATAGAGGTGAGGCGTCCAGGGGTCCACCAGGTTGGGAAAACGGATAGCCAGATCCCCAGCGGCAACCATGAGGTTGGAGCGAACAACGGGGAGAGAAGACTTCTCCAGCAGGGTGAACAGAAGACGAAGCTGGGAGTCACAGAAAGTGGCACTGGGAGCAAGGAGAGGACCGTCAGGAAAGTGGAGTCACCTGCGACCTGAGAGCCAGCCACACCCGGGCCTACCTGACCATGCAGAACTTGCCCAGGGCCAGCGCCGCAGCTGCGGAGAGGTCCGGGTTGCCGTAGACACCAGGGCTGTTGCAGACTTTGAGCAGAAGGGGAACAAAGGCGGCCAAGACCTGCTTGCCTGTTGGAGGGACAACTTGGGTTTGTGACCCGCCTTCTCCGGGGCAGACAAGGCTCTGCACCAATCCCTCTCACCCTCCAACAGCTCCAGCTCGCAGTTGCTCCGGATGAGTTCGGCCTCTGTGTCGTCAGCAGTGGCCCCAACCAGCCCCATCTCCTCCTCCATGGTGGTCTCAGAACCTGTGTTCTAAAGGGAAAGCAGCAGCAGGGACTCGTGGCGAACAAGGACAGCATTTCTGAATTCTGCCACATGAGTGGACCCACCCAAGGGCGAGTTCTGTGACATCCTTCATAGGACTGCCACATGTTGTCTAGGAAGAGGGAGGATTCCGGAATCCTGAAAACAAGGTCCTTCTTATTTGTTCTAAGTTGCCAAAACGAGTTTCTACATTTCTTTGTAACTCTTTCTCACAGAAGCTACATAACTCCCTGTACATAGCAAGCAAACAAGATCATGGTATGCTAGACAATGGTTCAAGGTCACAGAGATGGGCAGGCATCCCATTCTGCAAGGCTTGGTGCCCTACTTATCTGCAGACACAGGTCCTAGTGGCCAAGGCTGAGGGGGGCAGGGGCTAGTCAGTGTGCTTTCTAGCCATCACTGCCTGCCTAGGCTAGATAGAGCCTCTGCTCTGTGCTGAACTTGCTTGCCTGTATGTAGCTGAACTTTCCCCCTGGGTGACTGTGGACAGCCTATTCTATCTCTGGTGGCACGAATCTTTCCCCAGAGAGCAGCAGCAAGGTGGCAGCTTCATCTCCATGTACGAACAGCTTCTCCACTGACAAGAGGAGCTGAGCTCCATCCCAGAAAGAATGTACTAGGGAGATGAACGCAAACCCTGGGCCCCGCCCACCTTCTCCTTTGGCCCTTTAGTCTTGTGCTCCTGTTCTTCCCGAAGCCCTCGGCGGCGACACAGCTCTCCACTCACGGCCTGCTCCAGATGTACCAGCTGCTGCAGAGCCACGTCCCCAGCCAGGGACAGCAGGTTCATCAGCAGGTAAGTGGGGAGCGTGGGGATCTCTTCTGGAGCAGAGGGAGAGGGAAGCCAAGGAGAAAGAGACCTAGACGAGTCTGGCCGGGCTGGGCCCAGATCTTCCCCCTGGACATGAGCTAGTCAAACTAGCGCGGAAGAGTCTGGCCGGGCTGGGCCCAGATCTCCCCCCTGGACATGAGCTACTCAAACTAGCGCGGAAGCAAGAGATGGGGTGGGCAGATGGGGGTGGTCACTGGGTCTATTTGGATGACAAAAATAAAAGTCCTTTCTGCTTTTCTGTCTTAGCAAATGAGAGTGTGGCCGAGGGCGTAAGGAGTTGCCATAGAAAGTGGTGGTGGAGTGGCTGCTGGCCCAGCTGGACAAGTAACCTAACTGGCTGCCCACCACTGGGCCCTTTGCCCATCTTGCCCCACTTACTCTGATCCTCCTGGGAAGCGCTCTTCTCCTCGAGCTTCCCCAGGGCCTGTTTGGCACAGCTCTGCAGTATGTGGGCACAGATCACCTCAGGGCCCTCTGCCAGCTGGTAAATGAGGGCCACGGCACCCTCTTTGAATGGGATCCAGAGTGGGTCTGGGAGGACAAAGCCTGGCGACATATGGGAGAAGTGGTCCACTGCCCAGAAAGGACGCAGGCGGCTCTGCCCACGCCTTTCCTAACAGCTCACCTGTTGTGACCATCGCTCCCAGGCGCTCAAACAGCTTGTGTTCTGGAGGCAGTCGGAAGGGAGGATGGCGTTTTCCCAGAGAGGGCTGTAGAGAATACAAAAGGAAGACAGGTCAGGACATGGGTGTGTGCATCTCCATTCTCCTTAGTGATAACCACTCACATACCTTTCTCCGGTCGGAGATGTTGGCAATGGCATAGCACACCTGCTGGGCTAGCTGGTAATCCTGTGGAACCTTCTCTTCTAGCCCTATGCTCACCAGTGTGTCCAAGTTGCTTTTCACAATGTCTGGGTTTCCACTGAAAGAAAGAAGACAGTTGCAGGCTGCCTCTGCTGGGGACAGTGCTACTGCGGGTGAGCACCAGCGAGCAAAGCCAGGCCCCGAGAGCCTGTCTGACATGGGGCAGCTCGAGTCCCGCTCGCTCTACTGAGTCTGCCAATTTTCACTAGGCAAGGGAGGGAGCTGGCCCTTTTCATTGCTATATTCCATTCAGGTAGCCAGCTCACACTGAGCTCAGCTGGGCTGACTGCCAGTACTGAAGGAAAGGAAGCCTTCCCAGGCCCTCCGTCCTTCCCTCACCGTGCCATCATGCCCAGCAGCGTGACTGAGCAGCAGCGCTCCAGAGGAGAGCAGGGGGTCTTCTCGGCTGCACGTTCCCACAGCAGCTGCGTCACTGACGGCTTCAATTCATCTTTCTGCACAAACTCACAGACCTGAAGAGGAAAGATAAGGGCTCGGGCTAATTTCAATTCCAAAAACAATCCCCCTTACCCTTGGCCCACTTCGCTGGCAAGAATTTGGAGAACCTGAGTGGGTGAAAACAACACTTAAGAACAGGACAAGAGAGAAGTGGGCAGTCCTTTCCTCTTGATCCTCTGCTACTGTTCTTCTCTCGGGCCTTCATTCTATTTCCATGGGGAGGGCAAGGGACACGGACCTTTCCGCATTCCCGCAGGCCATGTCTAGTAGGTGCCCTTCCCGCTACCACACTCAAAGGTCTGAAATGGCACTGAGCACCCTCCCCTGCCTCTTCGTTTTGCTAATGGTGCCACCACAGGTCACATATGCTGACAATTTCAGTCACTGGCATTTGTTTTATCCAGCAATCACTGGGTCCTTCCTAGTCTCCCTTTACAATTGGTCTGAGTCTGGGCCCTGCTCCTCGCATGCCCACAGCAGCCTCTCGCAGCAGCCTTCATGTCCCTCACTTGGTCTCCACCCATCTCCTATGTGCTGTGCTGACTCTACTCCTTCCTACAAGGATCCCTGCCTCATTCTGACACCTCTCCTCTGCCCACAGCCCCCCAGACCCTCCCCTCGTCTGCAGGGAGAAACCCGTGGCCGGCAGAGTGCTCCTGCCAGTGGAAGACGGGGGTCAGCACCACCGCCACCGTTGGTCTCCCAAAGCAGCCTTGCTTTACTGTGACGCTGGGGTCCCCGGCTAAGGAGGTTCGAGGCCAGACACTTCTCTTGAGGCCTCTAGGAACCTCCAAACCAGACTCCATGTTGTTATGGTTTCCAGGTGACCATGTGAGGGGCAAAGACACAACTGTCTTGTCCAATGTGGGCTGTGCTCTTTCTGTCTGAAATACTCTCCCCACCCTCTTTTTCCATCATGAAATCCTAGTCACCTCAAGTCCTAACGCTTCAGAACGGTTCCTTGAGCAGCCAGCCTCACTGCACTCCGCCCTGCCCGGCAGCACAGCACATATTGCCTGGGTTTGCATCCCAATTTTACAGCTAACCAGCTGTTACAAAGTGTCTTATCTACTCTATGCTTTTTTTTAAAGGTAAAATGGCAACAGTATTTTCTCCTAGCGTTGTTGGGAAGAAGAAACCAGTCGCTGAAGTAAAGTGCTAAGACTGGTACCTGACACACAGGAAATGCAATGTAACGGTTACATTTCACCTCACTACAGCAAGCACTATTGGCGCCATTGACTGGCGTTATAGTTAACACCTGCTGTATGGTCCTAGAAATGCTTTGGTTTTTGACTACTAACTAGACTCTTAGTTCCTTGAAAATTTGGAACATGAAGCACACAACCACTTTCTTTATGGGGCTAAGTAAATTGTAGAAAACAGTAACTAACAACTAATACTTGTTGAATGGAAAAAAAAAAAGAGTTAGTGAGGAGACTTACAATTTCCTCAAGACACTGAACGGTCCCAATGGAAGCATCGACTAGCAGCAGAGAGACACTCTGGATGAAAACCCGGGCCGAGGCTCTGTGGGAGCGACAGAGAGGAGCATGCTCACTAGCACGGCCCCAGCATGCCAGGCTGAGGAGAAGCATGCGTTGAACGTGGACAACTGGAAATCAGCTAGCCCTTCAGTGTCAAATCACTGTAGGGAATGGGCATCCTTGGAAGATCAGTCCTACCCTCAGCCCCACGACAGACCTGGTCTATAGATTCCCGATTCCTCTAGGATGCCTCCCTCCTCTCCTTCAGATGCCGAAAGAAGGCCACCTTCAAAAACCCAGCAAAGGCAGAAGTCCTGTACAAACCTGGCAGAATCCCCTTTGGGGTGGAGGTAGAGTTGGCGGTAGGCATTTAGCACAGCTTCCCGGACACCAGGCTCCTTAGACCAGATGAGGGGCAGCATGCGGCGTACCCCTAGCAAGGCCTGAGGTACCCCAAACTGAGACACCGTCACAAAGAACTCAATCACCTCCTGTACCACTGAGAAGACAGATGCAAACGTCACCCATTTGCTTACTCTCCCCAACACTTAAAGGCACTTTCTTAATGAAACCTTCAAGTGAAGTCATTCCTCCAGTCTGCTATAATTAGATTATGTATTTAAGAAGAGTTTTAGTGGCACAGTGTGTTACATGCCAGGCTGCTAAGGGAAAGGTGTGCAGTTCAAATCCACCAGCTGCTTGAAGGGAAAGATGCTCCTGAAAAGTTACTGCCTGAGAAACCTGAAGGAGCTGTTCTATTTAGTCTGTAGGGCTGTTATGAGTCAGAATTGACTCGAAGGCAAAGACTGTAAATATTAAAACATGTAAGCTTCAAAACATAAAAATCCCTGTCTTTTAAAGAGACAGACATCAAAACCCATTGACATCAAGTTGACCCTGACTCATAACCACCCTATATATAGTTTCTGGGGCAATTAATCTTGATAGCCTCATCTTTGTCGTGCCAAGTGGCTGGTGGGTTTGAACCACCCACCTTGTGATGAGCAGCCTCACTCTTAGTGCCTGCCACCAAGGCTCTTTGGACAAGGTTGGTCTAGGCCACCCTGTGACCCAATCCTTCAGATGGGGGCCCTGGCATACCTGTAGTTGTGTTTTCATACATCATCTTGCTGATGATGCCGATGGCCTCTGTAATCTTCAGAGAGAAGCTGTAGGCGTCCTGTAGGTACTGCACCAGCATCTGCTGTTTCACCAGCTCATCGTTTCCCCTGGATTGCTCGGGCTTATCTTTACAGACAGTCTCTCCTGGGACCGTGTTCTCTGCTGTGCCCTGAGCATTCTCCTGTGCGCAAACTGTGGTGCCTACGAGTCAGAGAAGTAGAGGATGTTTTATTCCAGGGGGAGCTCGGTTGGGCCCAGTGGTTAAGTGCTGGACTGCTAAGCACGCGGCAGGTTTCACCCTGTGGGAGAAAGGCACGGTCTGTTCCTGAAACCAGGTGCCGCTTTAGAAACCCTAAGCAGCAGTTCTGTCTACTCTGTCCTATGGGTCGCGAGCTCGCCGGGAGTCGGAATTCCCCAATGGCAGTGAGCTTTGGACTGTTCAAGGAGACGTGGGAAACCAACAACTCTGACCGCCCCTGCATATTTCTTTCCGGAACAGGAAGATGTGAAACCGGAACCTATTTAAGAATATCTTGGTTCATTTTGCAAAAAAGGTTCTTAAACTTCTCAGTGTAAAATATCCATTTACACCCTGGGGTTTTCATTCTAGGCCCTAGGGCTGCACCCTCTCCAGAACAGATGGGCTGCCAACCCCTCTGGCGTCCTTCAGAAGCAGGCTGTTACCCAGGCCAGGGTCTGCCATACGTCAATGCTCACAGAACACTAGTTGGGCTGTTTAGCTTGTTGACTGCAGGAGAAAGACTCACCTTTGAAGATGTTTCCTAAGAGACCCAAGAAGCTGGTCTCTTCAGACTCCTCTGGCTCCATGTGGCTGAAGGGCTCAGATTCACGGAAGTGGCCGATAGCTTCCTGGGTAAGCATGATGGCCTGCCTGCAAGAACCGACAGACGGACCACAGACAGGTGAATGTCCGGAAGAGCACCTGCACCCCCTGGCAGGAAGGCTGCTTCAGCGGTCCCACCCTCCCTGAGTCGGCGGCTTCAGAGCAGAGGAGCATGCTTCATTCTTCCAGGGTGGAGAAACACACAAGAGCTGTAGGGCTCAGGATGTTCTTCTCATCTGACTTCTCAAGGGACATGGCTTTGCTGCTGTCTTATAGGACTCAAATGAAATGAAGGGTTCTGAAACATTTTAAACCACTAATCTACCCCAGACATCTGCTTCAAAACTTCACTGATTCAGTGTTTTGCAAAATATAAACTTTCAACAAGGAACTGGTTAACTAACTCAGGATACACCTGTATCCTGGGGTTCTAAGGACCCATGGAAAGGACTGTGGCAGCTATTAACGTGCAAATATGAACATAGCGCCAAGATCTGCATTTCTTATTACCAAGCTCTACAGTTACGCGAGATGGAGAACATTTTATCATGTGTGCCAAAGTGGGGCAGCGCACACACCTGACTGCAGAAACGTCATCTCCAGGGAAGGGTCAGTAGACTCGCAGCATTTCACCCCTGTGGTGGGGGAAGGGGAACCAGGGAGTGGAAACCACGTTTGGAAGAACATTTCATGGCATACTCTTATAATTAAAAATTTTGTATCATGTGAAGATACTGCCTACTTTTAAAATTAAATTAAAAATTTGAACAATTTTTTTTCCCCTCATTTTTCCCCTCCCTCCCCGCTCCCCCCTCCCACATGAGCCCTTGATAGTTTATAAATGGGTATTTTGTCATATCTTGCTCTGTCCGACGTCTCCCTTCATCCACTTTTCGGTTGTCTGTC